ATTTTTAAAATTTTATTGTCAAGGTGATGTGCAGAGGGGTTATAAATACATAAGTAAGGTAGTGATTACATTTCTTGTTAACCCTTCTTACATTTTTCTCCTTCTTTCCCTCCCCTCACCCAGTCCTCCATACACAAGTTTACAGATCATTTCCAAAATATTGTCGTGTGAGTATCACTGTTGTATGGGTTCTCCCTTTGTCCTTTGCTTCATATTTTGTTGTTCCCCTTCCCTTCCCTAATAGACATAAACAAATACACAATACCCAGGGTAACAAAATTGAACACAATGAAATAACACGAGAGAAAAAAGAAATCACGTAGTACATTGAAAACAACAACAACAAAGAAAAACCTCTTGTGTCCATGTCTTGGAGTTCATTTTGCTTAACATCGTCTTGTATGGTAATATGAAAATAGCTATTGAATTATTCTGCTCATTTTCTAATATTATCCTATACTAACTATTACAAATAAGAGATATCATGGGACCTATGGTTCTTTGAGTCTGTCTTACTTCACTTAATATTATTTTTTAAAAGTCCTTCCATTTCCTTACAAATTTCCTTTCTGATGGAAGCATAGAATTCCAGTGTGTGTGTGTGTGTGTGTGTGTGTGTGTGTGTACCAAATTTTTTGATCCATTCATCTACTGAGAGATATCTTGGTTGTTCCATATTTTATCTATGGTGAATGGTGCTGTGATAAACATAGTAGTGCTGGTAGCTTTAGTGTTGTCTTGTTTGTGATCATTAGTGTAAATACCCAGAAGAGGGATTGCTGGGTCATTGGGGAGTTCTATGTGTAGTACTTTAAGGAACCTCCATACTGCTTTCCAAGGTGGCTGAACAAGTTTATACTTCTATAACAATGCAGTAAGGTTCCCTTTTAGCCACATCCCTTCCAGCACCTGTTGTTATTAGATGTTTTATTATTATTATTATTATAGCCATTCTAACTGGGGTGAGGTGGAATCTCAATGTTGTTTTGATTTGCGTTTATTGTATGGCCAGAGGTGTTGGGCATTTCTTCATGAATCTATTGACCATTCTTATTTCCTCTTCAGAGAAGTGTCTCTAAGTCTTTAGCCCTCTTATTAATGGGGCAGTTGTTTCTTTGAGGATTTGTTTTGGGAGATCTGATTTTTTGAGTTCCAAGTGTATATTAGATTTAAGGCCCTTGTCTGTTGTTTGGCTAGTGAAGATCTCTCAATCTATGTGTTTTCTACTGATCTTACTAGCTATGTCCTTTGCGATACAGAAGCTCTGCAGTTTAATGCAATCCCATTTATCCAACCTTTCTTTGATTTGTTTTATTTCTGGGTCTTTTTAAAGAAAATTTCAGCCTGTACCAAGGAGCTTCTCTTATTCTCCAAGCTGTTTCTTCTATTCCTTCCTGAAAGGTCAGCCTTTCTTGTTTCAGTATTACTTCTTTTTTTTTCTTTTTTTTATTAATTTCTTTTTTTTTTATTGTGAAAATACTGTACAGAGAGGTTACAATTACATGGGCAAGATAATGAGTACATTTCTTATCAAGCATTGTAGCCTCCTCCTTTGTTTCCCCTTCCCATCCCTTCCCATCCTCTCCCCGCCCTCCCACCCAATCATTCCCACCGCCCCTCCCCCCCACCAAAGTTGTAAAGTTAGTTTTCGACATAACGACTTGTACATCTCATTGTTGCAATTGGTCCACCTGTATCCCTATTTAAACGATTTGTTTTTCCCCTTCCCCTCCACAAATTATACCAACATCAAATACAGTGAAAGCAGGGGTTATACTGTGGGGGAGGGACATACAAAGCAACTTCTTGGTTGTGTTAATTAGAATGTTGTTAATGCCAGGCGCTGGTGGCTCATGCCTGTAATCCTAGCTACTCAAGAGGCTGAGATCTGAGGATCACGGTTCAAAGCCAGGGCAGGCAGGAAACTCTTTGAGACTCTTACATTCAATAAACCACTGGAAAACCTGAAGTGGCACTTTGGCTCAAGCGGTAGACAGCTTGCCTTGAGCTGAAGAGCACCGGGACAGTGCCCAAGCTGCGAGTTCAAGACCCACAACTGACAAAAATAAATAAATACATACACAAATAAATACATAAATAAATACAAATTATAAAAAAGAGAATGTTGTTATATTTCTTATTTTTCCAGTAAAAACTATGTTCATTGAAATTAACTCAATTTAGCCATGACATTTTAGCAAATATATAACTAAAATATTTTTTGATGGAGAATTTATTTTTATATTTCTTTTTGGTCAATTCTCAATGATTAACCACAAAAAGGACCACTGTTCTTTTTTTTTTTTTTTCGGTCATGGGGCTTGAACTCTGGGCCTGGGCACTGTCCCTCAGCTCTTCAGCTCAAGGCGAGCGCTCTACCACTTGAGCTACAGCGCCACTTCCGGGTTTCTAGTGGTTTATTGGAGATAGGAATCTCAAGGTCTTTCCTGCCCGGGCTGGCTTTGAACCGCGATTCTCAGATCTCAGCCTCCTGAGTAGCTAGGATTACAGGCGTGAGCCACCGGCGCCCGGCCACTGTTCTTAATAGGAATATGCGTCATTTGTAACGTTATTTTGAATCACATACATAGGAAAATATACATTTATATATTTATTTTCACCTACACATTCTTACATCTGCATAAGAACTTGCATTGAACATGATCTGAATGTGAATGACATACTTATCCCATTTTGACATGATGCTTTTAATCACATATAATGTGTCATGTGAAAGGTAATGTAAACTACAATATAGACTATAAAAAAAAGAATGCCATGAAATGAGCAAGTATGAGACATAAAGATATATTAATTCTGTAACCTAGCAAGATAAAATTCACTTTTAGAAGGTAGAAAGTATTAAGGTTATTTATTAAGGAAACTCTTCCTGTTTGGGGGAGAAAGGAGGTCAGCATCAAATATGGGGAAAGATACTAAGAGCACCTCATGTCACTGTTGTGGAGTTTTTTGTTTGTTTTTGGTTTTTTTAGTTCACCTTGTGGACTCACATTATCGTTGCACATTCATATGAGCTTATTAAAAGCAACAAATTAAACTTTTGTTTATCTTATTTGAAAGATGCTCATTAAAATTTTATGTTTTATACAACTGCTATAAAAGTTTATGTGTCCAATTAATTTTACATTAATGATACTTTTGGAAAGGAAATGGCTAAAAAACAGATGTGTAGATTCATAAAATGAGCTGTTATTAAAAATAAACAATTGCTATCAATATTCTGAAATATTTTGTCATATATAATATAATAGGATAATAAAAGATGGTCAAGAGATCTGAATTTTCTTACCTTGACAGTTTAGATGTAGGAACAAATAAACATTGACACAGACTTGTAGGAGACAAAATGTTAAAATGACACAACGCTTTTGTATAAATATATGAGACATTGAAAAGTAAACCTCCTAAACCTTTAATGTCAGCAAATACTGGAAATATACTTCTATTATTCTGATACAATTTTACTTAAAGGAGCTCATTCCATATTTTTGATATATTAACTGGAATTTTAAATACGAAATTCTTTATATAAGAAGAAAACAGCAAAAACAATATATTACATAAAGCATAAGTAAAGTATGCATTCATTCTATAACTAATAAAATTAACATATTGGTAAAATACAGAATGGAGATTTTTATATGTTGGTGCCAGTTTATAAATGCTAGAAATTTTCTTCTCTTCCAAAGTTCAATAAAGTTTTGTTTTATTGCCTGTGTGTGTGTGTGTGTGTGGTGTGCATATGTGTTGAGAAGGGTTAATGGTTTTCTGAAGTTTGAGTTCACGGCCTTGCACTTCTTTGTCAAACCCTGAACTGAAAGCACATTTTTTAGCTCCCAAAATCGAAACATGTTTTGTGTTAAAAATCTTACTTGATTTTTCTTAATATATAAACACCATTGTAAACACATATTTTAAAGGACAAGTACATTACATTTATCTAGAAATATCCTTTGCTAATCTTTAGTTGTTCTCTTAAGAGCAACCAAAAGATTAAATCATAATTTAATGGAAATAAAATCTTAATGAACCATACCTATTTCTACTTATAAAGCACATCAAATTGAAAGTTATTTTTAAGTGTAAAGCTAAAAGAAGAGTTGCTAAACTGAACTTAAATGTTTACTGTCATTAACATATTTTAAATGTTTTTCAAATAAATTGAATACATGAATAGTAACTTATGATGTGTATTTTATGTGGAAGTATTCATTTTCAGAAAATATAACTATTCATTTGCTATTGAATGGTGGGAAAAATGAGAAAAAGCAAAATAAAATTGAACACATTTTCCTCTCAACGATGTTTAAGATAGTGTTATAATACTATCTACACCTTCACCTATCATTTTGATTTCTAATTCTTTTAAATTGCCCTCTTCTTATCAGCTACTTCAGACTTGAGAAATTACAAATTAAATGAATATATTATTAAGCTCCTTTTTCACACAGGCAAAATAATCCATGAGTGCACCATTTAACAATGGATCTCAATCCTGCACAGCAAGTTTGACTATCTATAAGTGAATTCACACCTTCAAAAACTATTTTCATTTCTGCTGAAATAGATTCCTCAGCAAAGTGGAGAGCATTTATTTTGATGTAACTTTCACTGAAAATGTACATTTAAATATTCAACTCATTCAGATGGTTTTCCTCCACCTCCCATCTGCAATAACAACTCTAGAAATTCTTTAGAAATTTTGTGTTTGTCTGGACTCACATTGTTCTTATCATCTAGGTCACTTTCAGAATGAAATACCAGTGCTTGTTTCCAACCTTTTATTTTTCAACCCCTTAAAATTTTTCCAACCTTTTACTTTTCAACCCCCTAAAATTAAAAAAAAAAAACAAATTAGCATGTATTAAATCAGAGAGAGAGAAAGAGAGTGTGAGAGAAAATCCTTTCAGTGTCGAGTAAATAGAAATGCACTACTTTAACAATATGACAAACTTTCTCCATTCATATTTTATTTTCAGATGTAAAATACTTGAAGGAAGAAGATGCGAACCGCAAGACGTTCACTGTCAGCAGCACACTGGATTTCCGAGTGGACCGGAGTGACGATGGAGTTGCTGTGATCTGCAGAGTAGACCACGAGTCCCTCAACGCCACCCCTCAAGTAGCCATGCAGGTGCTAGAAATACACTGTAAGTACATCTACTCTTCTCTCTCTTATCTCAGCAATGCATCTCTCCATTTGCATTAAATCATGTCAAAGTTGCGCAAAATAACAGAAAATGTGCGGTAAACTCTATACTCCTTACCATTCTTCACATTCAAAGGGAAATACTGTCTTCTGTGTCATTCTCAACAATGAAGTAAATATTGGAGATGGAATGAGGTTAGCATTCATACTTGGGTCAAAGTTGTGGCTTGCAGTGTGTGTGTGTGTGTGTGTGTGTGTGTGTGTGTGTAGATTAAGGGAGGATCAATGTGTTTATATTATAATTTTGATCTCCCATGCTGCTTTTAAAATTAGGCTTCATTCGAACTTGTACATGAGATATTCTATGTCTGGTTGAATGAAGGAGTATGTCTAATATGGTTATCACTATTGTTTATATAATAATAGTAGCCTTAATTTCCACGCCCCTCTACATGAGGAACTTTTAGAAATACTTTGAAAAGTTTCTCACACATCCTGATGAGCAGTTGCTCTCATTAGTCACCAGCTACACACAGACAGTAGTAAAGATGAAGGAAGAAGATTCCAAGAACTAGCAAATGGCAAACTTGTTATCATGGCATTCTTTTAATTAAGCTCCTAAGGTTATAGTCAATAATGTATGTTTATGAAAATTAAACTGCATAGAATGAAATTAGAGAACAGAAAAGTGTAAAAGAGAGGAAAAAAAATTTAAAATTGCACTATGTGAGTTTTGATTATGGAGACTTTGGCTGGTTTTCTTATCTATATTAAAATCATAGCTTGAATTTAGAATTTATATGTGACATGTAATTAAATAAAAATGATGATTTCTAAATGTACATTTATTAATTTGCTTCATTATTGAGTAAGAGTTTATTGGATTCCAATTATGTAAGAGTTATTGTGTGGACCCCTGGTCTTAGAGAAGTATCACCCCCAATAAATAACAGCAACAGAAACAAGAATGAAATTGTTCTCTTCTTTCCAATTGTTACCCTCCTCACAACAAAGTTCCATTTTCTTTCATCATCTAACTTAGACAGTAATAGAAAGGCAAAACATAAAATAAATACATAAAACAAGGAAAGTAAGGGATGCATGTGTGTTCGTATGTGTGTGTGTGTGATACTGAGGAAGGGATTATACAAAGGCCCTAAGTTACAAATGTGCCTGCCACTTTTATTCCTAGAAATAACACTGATACAAAATAAGCCCACAAGATGGGTGAAGGCAAAAAGAATGCATTTGAAGAAAATCTTGGAGAATTACCAGGAAACAGGAGTTGGGGGAGGGGAGTATTTTTGCTGTTGATTTTTGTTCGTTTGTATTTTTTTTAACTTTTGGCTAAAAATGTCTTTTAATTGTATTAGTTTTCCAGTGAATGAAATTATTATATAATTAGTTATTTCATTAGGTTTTATCACATTTTCCTTTAAGAAGAACGAGAAACAAGAAAACTGTAAGGTCCACATGAGGATTATCTTTAATACCAAGAACTGGTCATAGTGACCTTGGAATAATTACTTATATGTGTGGGTTTGATTATAAATTAAAGAATTAATTTCTTCATGAATTTGATTAAAATATTAGAGGTAGGTCTTGTAGAGAGAAATTCCATCTTCTCAGTTTATTTAATAATTAAATATCGATTGCCTTTCTGTTTTCTTTCCTTCTTTATTACATCATTTGGTCTTTCAAACCATGAAAATTAGTATGGATAGTTATTCTGAAAGAGTCTAGAACACCAGCATAATAATTTGTAATTTGTGATACAAATTTATATAACAAAGTAATACTTTAATGATCACTTATTGGACTATAAAGTCCAACATACGATAATAGAAAACATGAATCAAGCCAAAAATATATTAAAACACCTGGCGCCAGTGGCTTACGCCTGTAATCCTAGCTACTCAGGAGGCTGAGATCTGAGGATCATGGTTCAAAGCCAGCAGGAAAGTCTGTGAGACTCTTATCTCCAATAAACCACTATAAAACTGGAAGTGGTGCTGTGGATCAAGTGGTGCAGTGCTAGCTTTGAGCTGAAGAGTGCAGGAACAGCACCCAAGCCCAGAGTTTAAGCCACAGTTCTTTTGTCTCTACTTCCTAGTAATTAGAATTACAGGTACCGTATTCAACTTATTTTTATGACTAATTTTCTATAGATCACTATTTTTGTAAATTTATTACACTGGTAGTTAATTTATTACATTTATATAGTGGTAATTCCTTAGCATTATGAGAAACTTAGCAAACTATGGAAGAAAAGTTACCTGATATCACTGCACACTGGCAACAGGAATCTGAAGCCACTAGGATGTGAAATCTGGGTTTAACTGCAAACTTTCAAACAGAAAAAATAAATTGGACCTCTTAGATAAATGCAATGTTACATGGAGAAAATAAATAACGGTGCTGAAAATAAAATGGATCAGGCTGAAATCAACCTACAACCCCTAATAATAAGTGGTAGACCTTATGGAATTAATCAAGATTAATTTCTAAAATTGTTTCCAAATAATTATTATAGTTTTTTGCTCAATATTTAGCATTTAGTTCATTTCAGGTGTAAATGGAACAAGAAAGTGAAACATCACAGATCAGTTTATATATTCATCCAACGTTTCAGAATTCTTAACATACCATGCATTTCATTAAGATATGAAGGTACAAGATTATTGTAGAATCAAGTACTAGACTTAATGAATTAAACATATTAGAATGTGTCACTAAGTTCAATATATTGTAACAGTTTATACTCTGCATTTAACCATGAATATTAAGTATTTCCTGACATTTTGTATAAATGTTGTATACATTCACATATATCCAGTACATACAGTATTGAGTTTACTTAGATATGGTTTGTCTTTAATATTTCATACTGCTTTAAAATATTTTTAAATACACAGAAAAATAGCATACAGCCAGGCACTCATGGCTCACACCTGTAATCCTAGCTACTCAGGAGGCTGAGATGTGTGGATCAGTATTCAAAGCCAGCTGAGGAAGGAAAGTCCATGAGACTCTTATCCCCAATAAACCGCTAGAAAACTGGAACTGGTGTTGTGACTTAAGCAAGAGAGTACTTGCCTTGAGCTGAAGAGTGCAGGGCAAGTGCCCAGGCCCAGAGTTCATGCATCACAACCATCAACAACAACAACAAATTAGCATACATGAAGAAACAAGAACAAAGAACTGACAGCAATAATAATGCAATTTTGGTAACCCTACAATATAACATCAAATGGTACAATATCTATCAGTAATTAAACACAACATAATACATATGCCAAAAAAGCTGAAGCAAGAACATTATTTTAGTTTGTAAAGAAGTAGAATATGTAATTCTATACGGGAAAAGAAAAGGCTCACTTTCACAAGCCTGGAATTAGTATTTAAATGAATTTGTGATATGAAATCTACATCCAATCCTTTGAAATGTATTACAAAATATAAATACAAACATGCATGCAGCTTTTAATAACTGTTAAGGCTTTCCTTCTTTGCAATAATTAGTAGACATCTAGGATAATCTTAGCAGATGAGCAGAATAGCTCAATAGCTATGTACATATGACCATATAAGATGATGCTAAGCAAAATGAACTCCAAGACATGGACGGAAGAGGTTTTTCTTTGTTGTTGTTGTTTTTAATGTACTTTGTGATTTTTTTGTTTCTTTTGCATGTTCTTCTCCCTATGGTATATCCCCTGTGGTCACTGTATTTGATGTTGGTACCCTGGTATTGTGTATACATTTATTTCACTTAGGGAAGGGAAGGGGAACAATGGTATGGTGAGTTAAAGGACAAGGGCAGGGGGGAACCAATGCAACAGCAATATATACATGACAATACGTTGGAAATGATCTGTACAACTTGAGAGTAGAGGGGTTGGAGGGAAGTAGGGGTAAAATGAGGGAAGGAATAACAAGTTTGATAAGAAATATACTTATTCCCTTACCTATGTAACTGTAACCCCTCTGTACATCATCATGATAATAATGATTCTTAAAAGATGTTAAGGATGTACAATGAAATATTTTGACTATGTAGTGATTACTTTTTAAATGCAACTCATCTATTAGTTATTAAAAGATTAATATTATAGAAATGTATGAATTTCTAATTTAGAATTGTTTCATAAAATCATATAATCTATGGTATTGCATCCTTTTCTTGATAAATCTCCCAACTTAATAAATAACTAAACAAACAATACAAAGAAATAAAGGAGACATTGTTTATTGGATTGTTTTGAAGAAAATGTGTAAAGTGAATACTGTTAAAATTCATTCTGATTTGACATATATATCTATATACATATGTAGCATAAATTTATATGTTAGGACATATTTGTTAGGACAGTTTTACATGTGTTGGTTAAACTACTAACAAAAGTTCTATTCTTGTTAAAAGTATTATTTCAAGAATGGCATTAATATTTTACTAAAATATTTTTCCCTAGCATCATCTGATCAATTCCTTCATGGATATATTAAAATGAATCACAAAAGTAAAGGATGATTTAGAATGAAGAAGGTCTTATTATAAAATAAAAATTATTCAAAATCCAAATTACTTTCTCTTACTGCAAAACACTTTGAAAAATAAAATTAAGCTAATAATCAGCTAATTGGATATACATTCTGTGCATGTTGCCAACATAATCTGGTTAAAGAGGAATATTGACATTTCATGGACATTAAATCTAGAATTTTAGCTTGAAAATTAACACATCTGTTCATAATTAGTTTCTTCCACTATATCAAGAAAGCAAAGAAAGGGGCTAGGAAGGTGGCTCAGTGGTAGAATGCTTTCCTTTGCATGCATGAGGCCCTGGGTTTGATTCCTCAGCACCATATAAGGAGAAAAAGCCAGAAGTGGCACTGTGACTCAAGTGATAGAGCACAACTCTTGAGCTGAAGAGCTTAAAGACAATGCCCGGGACCAGAGTTCAGGCCCCACGACCGACCAAAAAAAAAAAAAAGACTAAA